GAAAGTAAATGCAAAATATATGTAATGTAAGAGAAAGAGAGAGAGAGAGAGAGAGAGAGAGAGAGAGAGAGAGACACACACACACACACACACACACACACAGACGGACAGACAGACAGACAGACAAAGAGATAGAGGCAGAGAGACAGAACATCAACAGGTTGGGGCAGCAGGGACAGCTCCAGGTACAAGGAAGGTAGAACCTGAGCTGTACTTTCAAAAAAGGTTAAAATCTCTGCCAAGAAGGGTGAGAAGAGGAGGCCCTCCCAACATGGAGAAACACCTGTCAAAATCTCCCCGGCAGGAGACAGAGAGTCATATAACAGGAAATTCTAGGCAGGCAGGTGGGCTGGAAAGTACCATAGGGCAGCTGGATTCTGCAGGGCTATCATTGATCAGGCTGAATTAATCTCAGCTCTCCGTGCTGCTGCAGACAACCTGAAGCGAACTGTTCCTTCCATGCTCTCTCCCATGCCCTCATTAAAAGGGAGCTGGTGGAACAGTGGATAAAGTGCTGGGCTTAGAGCCAGGAAGACCTGAACTCATCTGGGGCAAGACATGACACCTCTCTGCCCCAGTTCCCTCATCTATAAAATGGGGTTAATAATAATACCTTAAACCTCCCAGTATTGTTGTGAGGCTCAAATGAGATCCTGTTTGTAAAGTGCCTTGCAAACCTTAAAGCAAATTATATAAATGCTAGCTATCACCATTATTTCTTAAATCCTCTCATACTGAATGCACGAGCCCCTCCCAGTACTGTTCTTCACTCATCATCCCAGTCACTCTCCAATTATTGACAAATAGCTCAGTCTATACCCATCCAGGTCTCTATCCATTCCACAGTCCAACCACAGTCCTAGAGTTACTTCCTGACTCCCTGCTAACGTTCGGACCCCTAGTAAGTCACTTTCTTTGTGTAATTAAGGAGCTAGGTAGTGCAAAGAATAGAATGCTAGGGAGTCAAGAAGTACTGAATTCAATACCGGGCTCTAGACACTTTCAATAGCTGTGTGATCCTGGGCAAGTCGCTTACTTCTGTTTGCCTCAGTTTCCTCATTTGTAAAATATGGATAATAACAGCACCTACCTCCTAGGATTCTTGTGAGCATCAAATGAGATATTTGTAAAACACTTTGTAAACCTTAAATCATTAAACAAATGCTAGCCAGTATTAGCTAATATTACTATTAATTTCAAATAATTTTCCTGAATTCTTGGCCCAATTCACAGTTCCATCAACAATGCATTAATGTACCTGTCTTTACTCAACTACTTCATCATGGACTATTCTCTTGTTTTGTCATCTCTGTCAGTTTTCTGGTTGTGAAGTGAAACTTCAGGGTTGTTTCAGTTTGCATTTCTCTCATTATTAGTGATTTGGACCATTCTTTCATTTAGGTATCCCATAAAGCAAGGAGATGGGGGGGTGTCCTTATGCAAAGTCACACTGGCATGTAGGTTTTCCATTGGGTTTCAGACGGTCTCCCCCTTGCAGCTCTAGGGAATGTGCACAAGGGATTGTGGGTGATTTTCCTAAGGCTATGGACTCCAGTTCCTGTTCTATTGTGTTCTCTCCAATATCGTTGGAGGAGTTCTGGTTAATATCTCCTCGTTATTCTTGATACCAAAGACTACCTCCCCAGTATCATTTGAACCAATAAACATCAATCATCTTTTACAAAGTAATATTTTCTGAGGCGAGAAGTACAAACATGCCAATGAGACTCTCCAGTCTACCATGTTCGTCCATGAGAATTGGCTGAACTTAAGGCAGATGCTACAACATTCTTGCCACCAAGTTCACTTCCAAATTCAGCAGAGCTGCTTGTCCTCACTGCAGGTATTTGAAGTCTTTTTTTTACCACAGTTATCTTGTTCACACAAAATCTTTTCACTTCATGTAATCAAAATTAGCCATTTTACCTTTTGTAATTAATTCATCCTTTACTCATAGCCACAAAGGGCAGATGACCTACTTCTCCCAATTTTTTTAAGGTATGATTTTAAATATTCAAGACACTCATTAATTTTGAATTTATTATGGAATATTGTATAAGGTGGTGTTGGGCTAAGCCTAATTTCTGTCACACTGCTTTCCAGTTTTCCAAGTAGTATTTATCAATTAGGGAATTTTTTCCAAAGGTAGTTAATGTTTTCCACCATATCTAACACAAAATTATTGAGTTTAGTTTTTTTTTTTGGTGAGGCAATTTGGGTTAAGTGACTTGCCCAGGGACACACAGCTAGTAAGTGTAGAGTGCCTGAAGTCACATTTGAACTCAGGTCCTCCTGAATCCGGGCCTGTGCTCTATCCACTTTGCCATCTAGCTGCCCCAAGATTGGTTGTTTCTGAATTACTCTTGTCTACTGTGTTCCGTTGATCTGTCTCTCCATTCTTTAAACAATACTAGACGGTTTTGAGGACTGCTGCTTTATAATGTAGTCTGAGCTCTGGAAGTGCTATTCTCTCTTCATCCCTAGTTCTTTTCAGTATTTCCCTTAATATTCTACATCTTTTGTTTTTCCAAATAGACTTTGTTATTATTTTGTCAAGTATTGTAAAGTATCCCCTTGTTAATTTGATTGGTATAGCATTAAAAATGCAAATTAATTTTGGCAGCATTGTCATTTTTATTATATTGGCACAGCCTAGTCATGAACACTGAATATTCTTTCAGCTGTTTAGGTTGTCCTTTATTTCTTTAATGAGCTCTTTGTAATTGAATTTATACGAGTCTTTTCTGGGCTTTGAGAGGTTGGTCCCCAGGTATTTGATACATTTTGTAGTCATTTGGAATGGGATTTCCCTTTCTATTATTGTTTTTTGTCTCAATTATTTTGCACAAATTTTCAGTTATTTTGAATTGATCTTTTCATCATTACCTTTGAGATTTTGCTCTACTATATAAAAGTGCTATTTGTTTTTGTGGGTTTATTTTGTAATCTGAAGCTTTTTTGGGGAGCTGTTAATTTTTTTGTTGATTTCCTTGGATTTTCTAAGTAAACTATTATGTCATTAATAAATAGGAGTACTTGTCTCTCTTTTTGACCCACTTCTCTGCCTTTCTTCCTCTTATGTTATTGCTATTGCTATCTTTTCTAGAACGCTCTTACAGCTTAATTGACTAAAGAGAAATGTTTTAATTTAATAATTAATAAGGAAATAGCTGGATGTAGCTTTGGATTATTGGAGAAAGCAAGTAATGAGAATGAAGAAGGTAATGAGTGAAGTAACAGGCTAAGGGATGACCAACAGGTGGGTTTGGTCAGTCCTGTATGATCCTGTTACAGGAGGGATTTCTTCCCAATATGGGTTGGATTAGATGGACACTGAGATCTGTGGAGGAGTGCCCTGAACTTGTGTTCTTGAGTTAACCTATTTTCCAGAGATGAAGCCTCCTAAACTAACATAATACTGATCTTTCATAACTGAACTCTATTAAACTTTCTGGCTCTGGCCAGTCCGCCCAGACTGAGAAACTATTTGTGCAGCTGAGACCCTTTCAGGTAAGCAGAACAAACTCCCTCCATGGTCTGATGTTCCCAAGTCCTCCTGCTCCCTCTCATTCCCCTTCCCTTGCTGCTTCCTTCCTCCTCCCATGTCACTTCCATTTGGCAAGGGATTGCCCTCTACTCCTCCCATGAGACCTCTCTTTTTTCCTATACCCCATAAATATCTAAGGCATCATCTGTGGGTTGAGTTCCTTGGTATAAGTAGTTCCCACATGCATGTGCCTTTCTCTTGTAATAAATTAAGTGACTACCTGTGTCTTGTAGAGCTGTGACTTTTGGTTCACATCCAATTTTCACAACTAAAATTCTGCAATTTTGTGATATCCTTTGACCTATAATGAGTGCTGATGGACTCAGGGAAGATTCTAAGAATTACGCCAGTTGGGAACAAAAATCTCTGGGAACAAGATAAAAATTGTTACCTTTTGGTGCTAACAGCCCTCAAGAAAGCTCTGGGAGTCATATTGTTTGTTTACTGGAAGCCTCATCAAAGCTCTACTCCTTGGTCTGAGGAAAGGTGGAAAAATAATAGAATATCAGAGTTGCAGGGGTCCTCTGTCCAACTCGTGGTCAAGAATTACCTTTATAGCCTCCCTGATTGTCCCAGGAAGGGACAAGAACTGAGTGCATTCAAGACATGTGGAACTGTCTGCAGAGTCAGGAAATGAAATGTCCTGCGCCAGAGACAGCAAAGCAGACAGGCTCAACTAGAAGACAAACTGTGGGAGCTAGAATGCGGAGGGCTTTGTTTGTTTCTTTTTTGTGGAGGGCTTTCAATGCCAAGCTAACCACTAAGTAAATTTCAGCTCTCTTCCCTTACTATAGAATCCAACTAAAGTCATCCCTTGCACACTCCCTCAATTACTCCTATTCTTTCTTCTACATTCACTAAATTCTCTAACATGGAATTTCCTATCTTCTCATTGTCAACCATCAACTTTTACAGAGTTTGTTCTAAAAAAGACAAAATTAGACTTAATGTGCATGTTTATTTCTCTGAAAGGTAGAAAATCATGTACATAGAGATATGAACATACGTTCATTTGAAAATCAACTCAAAGAAGGATAAACAAAAGGCACTTTATATCTTCAGAGCAATTCCCTGTAACTCTCCCTCCTGTACTGACTCAGGATGCCTGTGCCCTTCATTAGCCAAAATTATAGTTTCATAAAACAAATAGTGTGGCCCCAGGATTTCTGGTTTCCTGCCAACCATAAATATAGGATGTAACAAAATGGGGAATGTTAGGATAGTGCCTCTAACAAAGGAGGGCCATACTAAATAAGGGAAATATCCATTAGACCATGGCTTTGGCAGAACCGTATTCTCAGTCAGCAAAGTCCAGCAGGAGGGCTTGGGTTCACTCAGAGAGCACTGTGTTCAAATTCTGCCTCAAACACTTCCTGGCTGTGTGACCTTGGGAAAATCACTTTACCCACTTGGCTTCAGTTTCTTCATTTGCAAAATGAGCTGGAGAAGGAAATGGCAATCCCCTCCAGTATCTTTACTAGGAAACTCAAATAGGGTCAGGAAGAAAAACCATGGAACTGAAGAGCTTCAAGGGGTGAACATTCACAGAGTCTCCAGAAACTGGGAGGGAGGGTGGTGAGGTCATGTAATTCAAATTTTCACCCTTGACACTTCACGTGAAGTGGTAGGGGCAGCTCAAGCTGGCTCTTGTGAACCCATTGGCATATTTGCCCCTCTGAAATCAGAAAATGCTACCATTCAGGGCTTGATTTATCATTCTGTTGATTGTGTAGACTTAAGTGTTAGAAACAATGTTACTAATAGAGATTAAATTAAGAGTATGTCATGGATACATTTGTTTGTTTGTTTTTGTTTTCCAGAGAGCTTGTTATTATACATTTTCCAGCATATCCCTGTTGGATGGATGGATTTTCAGATCTGTTTTCTTTCGCCTTTTTAGATTCAAACTACTTTTGTTTTCCTTCCAAATATGCCTAAGATAAGGTCTGAGGAGGCAGTGCATATAGTAGTCCTTAGCCCCAGTTTCCCTGGAGTGCCCTTTGATCGAGTTCTTTCCGTATTAAAGGCCACGCCTGGGATCTGATTAGGCATAACCAGAAGGCTGTGCAGAGGGAAAGATGTGGAAGACTTCCCTGCTGCCCAAGGTTCTGACTTTGGGGGTCCTGGGACTCCTGATTCATGCCCCAGGTGAGCAGCTCTGCCAGGCTGACCCAGAATAGGGCATGATTTCTTGGTGGATGTGAGAGGAGTCCTTTGATTTTCCCATTGGAGATATGGGGCTTGTGCATTGTTTTTTCTCTTGTTGCCCTCACTGACTGAGTGGGTGGGTGGGCTGGGGGTGAAGGATTATTGCTAGTTTAATTTCAGGAGGCTAAAATTGGTTTGTTGCTGAGAAATTGATGCTGTCTCCATGTGTGTTATATCCCAAAACTCTTCTATCAGCTGCTGGTGGGTTAGGGAGGGGGGAAAAGCTGAGTCATTTTCAAGGAGGTTGATAAGAATGAGGATTGGGGAGGATCTTTTTACAGACTGGAAATAGCTCTGCATTTGCATGAGAAAATGTGGCACAGCTTATTTCTTTATTTTCTCCATATTTCTTCTTTCATAAATAGTATTTTATTTTTTCTAATTACATATGAAGATAGTTTTCAACATCCATTTTTAAATAAGATTTTGAGCTTCAAATTTTTTCTCCTCCCCTTCCTTCCCATTCTCCCTCCCCAATACGGCAAGCAATCTGATATAGGTTATACATTTGCAATAATGCAAACATATTTCCGCATTAGTTATGTTGTGAAAGAAGAACCAGAACGAAAGGAAAAAGCCACACACACACACACACACACACACACACACAAAAACAAAAAAAAAAGGGAAAATAATATGCTCTGATCTGCATTCAGACTCCATAATTCTTTCTCTGGATATGGATAGCATTTCTCATCATGAGTCTTTTGGAACTGTCTTGGATCATTGTATTGCTGAGAAGAGCTGAGCCATTCATAGTAGATCGTTGCACAATGATGCTGATACTGTGTACAATGTTCCCTTGGTTCTGTTCACTTCACTCAGCATTGGTTCATGTAAGTCTTTTCAGGTTTTTCTGAAATCCACCTGCGTATCATTTCTTAGTATTCCATTACATCCATTTGTCACAACTTGTTAAACCGTTTTCCAATTGATGGGCATTCCCTCAATTTCCAATTCTTTGCCACCACAAAAAGAGCTGCTATAAATATTTTTGAACATATGGGTTATTTCCCCCTTTTCATGATCTCTTTGGTATAGAGACCTAGAAGTGGTATTGCTGGATAATAGGGCATGCACATTTTTATAACTCTTTGGGCATAGTTCCAAATAGTTCTCCAGAATAGTTGGATAAGTTCATAACTCCACCAAGGATGCATTAGTGTCCCAATTTCCCAACATCTTCTCCAATATTTATCATTCTCCTTTTCTTTCCTATTAGCCAATCTGAGAGGTGTGAGGTGGTACTTCAGAGTGGTTTTAATTTGCATTTGTCTAATCAGTAGTGATTTAGAGCATTTTTTATATGGCTGTAGATAGCTTTAATTTCTTCATCTGGAAACTGCCTGTTTATACCCTTTCACTATTTATTAGTTAGGGAATGACTTGTAATCCGATAAATTTGACTCAGTTATCTACGTATTTGAGAACTGAGGCCTTTATCAGAAATACTTACCATAAAAATTGTTTCCCATCTTTCTGCTTTCCTTCTAATCTTGGTTGGGTTGGCTTGTTTGTGCTAACCCTTTTTAATTTAATGTGGTCCAAAATGTAATTCATTTTGCATTTCATAATGTTCTCTGTCTCTTGTTTGGTCATAAATTCTTGCCTTCTCCATAGATCTGACAGGTAAACTATAACTTGCTCTTCTAATTTGCTTATGATATCACACTTTTTGTCTAAATTATGTACTCATTTTGACCTCATCTTGGTATATGGTGTGAGATGGTCTATACGTACTTTCTGACATACTAGTTTCCAGTTTTCCCAGCAGTTTTTGTCAAACAGTGAGTTCTTATCCCAGAAGCTGGAGGCTTTGGGTTATTTCTTTACTTTCATCCTCTGAAACCACTGTGATTATAGAGGAGAAACTGAAGCCCAGCTGGTGTATGTTAAAGTCACTCCCAGGCATTTTACATAGGGCTGTACTTTGGTCTCCTTTGATAAAGGGGGAGTGCCAGTCTTTCAGAGGCATGCCTGACCCATGTCCTGATTCAGGCAGAGTATGGCCATGTGCCCTGACGGTTGTGCAGTCCTTAGTTCTTGGACTGCAGGATGGAGAGCTGGGAGGAATCACAAGGGCCATTGAATCCAATGCCCTTTTCCCATTTAATCAAAAAGGGGAAACAGACTTAGGGAAGGAAAGGAATTGTTATATGTTCACACAGGCAGTAAATGGGAGAGCTATGATTTGAACCCATATCCTCTGAGCCCAAATGCAGTCCTCTGTGCATCCAGCCTTATCACCTACTACTACATTCACATTTATTGTATTGTTTAGTCATTTGTCAGTCATATCTGACTCTTGGTGACTCCATTTGTGGTTTCCTTGGCAAATATGCTGGAGTCGGTTTGCCATTTCCTTCTCCAGCTCATTTTACAGATAAGGAAACTGATGGCAAAAAGGTTAAATGACTTGCCCAGGTAAATAGCTGAGCCTGGATTGGAACTCAGGAACATGAGTCTTCCTGACACATACTGTAGCCCAGTGTAAGTGCTTTCCATCTGCCTTTCTTGTCCTGCTATCTCCTGTCTCCCTTCATTGTCTGCTGACTTTCCCATGCCCACAAAGCACTTCCCCTAGTCTAGTTCTGTTGAAGACTCTTCATTGAAGACCCAGCTTGGGCACTGCCACTTGCAGCAGAGCTTTTCCTGACCCTCTGCATATCTTTTCCTAGCTCTTTGCCAGGAACTCTCCTTTGTACCTCTCCCTTGTATTACTAGTTATTGGCGCACAGGTCATTGTTCTCTAGGAGAATGGAAATTCCTGCCATTTTATCCTCGATTTAGAGCTGGGGGCCTTGCCCATAGTGGGTACTCATTAAGTCTTTGCTCAGTTGGATCATACTAGTAAACTATATGGCACTGCTTTTTAACTCTGTGCTTTCCTAAGCTGGGCTGGGGGGTGGGATTATTGGGGAGCGGTGGCTTTGATCTTAAAACTCAGGTTCCTAATGCTAGACAGCTCCTGAGTCAGTGGCAGAGCTGTCTCAAAGTACAAATGGCCCTTTTCTGGAGTAAGTTCCCCATCACTGGAGATCTTTAAGGGAAATGAAAAGAATTATGGCAGAAATAGGAGGCTTGCATTCCCATATAAGGAAAAAATGGTCATGGTGGGGGATATGGAGGACGTATTTGGACATCATTTCAGCCTCTGTCCTTGAGGATTTCTCTCCCTTTTGTTTACAGGGCATCATGCAGATGACCTCATCAGGACCACTGAGTCTGGACAGATCCAAGGGACTCAAATCAGTATCAAGGGGATTGACAAAGGTGTCAGTGTTTTCCTGGGAATCCCCTTTGCCAAACCCCCTGTGGGAGCCCTGAGGTTTTCTCCTCCACAACCATCAGATTCCTGGAGCAATGTGAGAGATGCGACTACTTATTCACCTGTGTAAGCATCTTCCTGTATTCTTTTCTTACCAGATCAGCCCAGGGAGCCATCTTGTCTTACCTACATTTTGTCTCTCTGAGCTCTGCATACAGTAGACAGTAGTTAAGTATTTGTTGAAGGAATGAATGTTCCCTGGGCTGCAAGGCCTCAAATTGCTTAATTTATTTGGACTTTAGAGAATAACAGACTTCAGAAAAATATTGTCAAGTTGGTAGTACACATATTGCTACAGATGGGAAAACAAAGGCTAACAGAGATTAGAGGCAGCAGGTGGGTCAGAGGATAGAATGCTGAGTCTGGAGTCAGGAAGACCTGAGTTCAAATCTAGCCTCAGACATTTACTAGCTTCATGACCCTGGGCAAGTCACTTCACCCTGTTTGTTTTCAGTTTCCTCATCTGTAAAATGAGCAAGAGAACAAATGGCAAGCTGTTTTAGTTTCTCTGCAGGTTTTCTGAGTTCCTCACATTCATCCTCTCTTTCAGCGCTATCATATTCCATGGCATTCATACATTGTGATGTGTTCAGCTATTTGACTGTTGGTAATATCTGTTTCCAGGGTTTTTTTTTTTTGTTTAAAAAATACTTTGTTTCCAACTTAACAATTTTCAACAAACCAAAATATTTAAATTAGCAATAATCAAGAAAAAAGACTATATAAGAAGCTGTGAAATGTTTGCAAGTCACTGCACCTCTGCCTACTTCAGTTTCCTCATCTGCAAAATAGGGATAATAATAGCACCTACCTCTCAAGGTTATTGTGATGGTCAAATGATACCATGTTTGTAAAGTGCTTTACAAACCTCAAAGCATCCAATTATTATTATTACTATTGTTATTATTATTATTATTGTTATCCCCACGTGATTTTATTCAGATCATCCATCCATTATGTTTTCCAGGTGTTTGCAGAATGTCACTCCCCTAGAAAGTATGGCAAAAGTCATGAAAGTAAACATCCCTATTCCTGCCAATTCTGAAGACTGTTTGTACCTCAATATCTATGTTCCTGACCACACAAAGGAGGGGGCCAGATTGCCGGTAAGCCAGATCTCTGTAACTTCCACAATGGGGAATGAGAATCCTAAGGCATAAGAACTGTGTGTGACTTTGGAGGTCACCTCGTCCCACCAGCATGGGAACAGTCATCTTCTCCAAATATTTCTGACAAGTTAGCTAGCCTTCCCTGAAGTTGTCCTGGTCAGGGAGCTCACTACTCCCAAGGGCAATCAGCTCAATCCTTGGTAAAAACTCACATGGTTAGCAAATGCTTCCTCCTATGAGGCTGAAATTTGCCTCCATATACTTTCAAGGCATCTAGGTGGCCCAGAGGATAGAATACCAGTCCTGGAGTTAGGAAAAGTCATTTTCTTGCATTAAAATTTGGCTTCAGACATTTACTAGCTGTATGACCCACGACGAGTCACCTCACTCTGTCGCCTCAGTTTCTTCATCTGTAAAATGAGCTAGAGAAGGAAATGGCAAACCACTCCAGTGTCTCTGCCAAGAAAACCCCAAATGGGGTCATGGAGAGTTGGGCATCCCTGAAAATGACTGAAATAACTTCAGGGAGTTGGTTCCATGATCTGGATTGATATCAATTTCTGCTACAAATAGTTATTGCTATAGGAAAAGAGCAAGACATTGAGAAAGTGTGACCTTCCAAACACTTCTTGATCCTGTCCAGAGCTATCATCTCATTGCTGTAGGGAACTTTACTGTGTGGAAACTCTCTCTGTTGATGAGGACAGGCACTTTTGTAGCTTAGAGCCTTGGCTTGTCTGGTGTACTGAGAAACTAAATAACTTCTTTTGTGCTCACACATCGCATGTGTACCCAAGGCAGGACTTGAACTTAGCCCTCCTCACTCCAAGGCTAGGCCTCTATCATATACACCAGGCTTCCTTTCTTAAAATAAATGACAGTGAAAAAAACTGCTCAAATGTTCTCTGCCCATGAAGTGTTCTCTGAACTTCATCAAATCCACATTCAACTCAACAACCATTTCTACAAGCCTGGAGCCCTTCTCATTAGTGCTGGGGATACAAAGAAAGGTGGGTTTTCCCTCACCTTAATGTTACCTTAATGTCATTTTGGATCTCCTTTATGACACTTAATATAGACTGTGTTGTTGCTCAGTGGGGATTTTCAGTTGTGTCTGACTCTTCATGATCCCACTTGGGGTTTTCTTGGCAAAGATGCTGGAGTGATTTGCCACTTCCTCCTCCATCTCATTTTGCAGATAAGGAAACAGAGGCAACCAGGGTAAAGTGACTTGCCTAGGGTTACACAGCTCATAAGTGTCTGAGGCCAGATTTGAACGTGGAAAGATGAGTCTTCCTGACTCCAGGCCCAGCACTCTATCCACTACGCCACCTAGCTGGCCCAATACAGAATACAACAGTCTGTATTATGGTTTTTGGATCTATATCCTATCCTTTCTCAATAGTTGACTATCAGTACTTTGAGAGCACTGACCTGGTCTTATTCAAAATACCTATCCCAGAGCCTTGCACAGAGTAGGTACTCAGCAAATGTATGAAATGAATGAATATACCACAAAGCCAGAGCAAGTTCCTAAATATAGGATTGTCAGTTATTTTCATAAAAGGAATTTGGAGTTTGGAAAACTCCAGGGCTTGGAGGATTCTAAGACTGGAGGACATGCCACCCATGCTGGCCCTGCAAAGGGAAACAAGGAAATGGATTTCCATTGCTTCCAGAACACAAAGTTGCACTTGGAAGGAAGGAGTGAGCTGGGGTAGGTGTCAGGTTGCCTGGTTGAGTGGAAAGAGGACTTTTGTATAAGAGAAACTGAGCTTGCTCACGCAAAGCTCAGCAGGCCTGGGTTCAGATCAATTACACTGTAAATAATCTGATCTTATAGCTTCCTTCACTGTTTGTACCCTAAGGGTTTATGTTTTGAATAGAGGTTGGGAAGGGAGATGAGTGTAGTAGCAACCAAACCGCAGAGTGTAGTGAAGAAAACATAGCATTTAGAGTGGGAATTCCTGAGATCAAAGCCCAGCTCTGCCACTTACTACCTTTATAACCTTCTGCAAGTCACTTAACTTCTCTGGTCCTCAGTTTCCTCATCTGTCAAATAATGGTGTTGTACCAGGCAGTCTCTAAAATCCCTTTCAGCTCTACAACCTAGGATCCAATAATCCCGCCTGACACAGAATTCTGGGGTACACAGTCATATACACCTCAATGATCACCCGAGGAAAGGAGATGAAAGCAAGTCCACTTGTGTGATGGGCTCCCTGTTCTCTCCATGTACTCAGCTACTCACAGCAAAATGTGCCCTCTCCATTGCCAGTGCATACTCTGGCTTTCTCAGTGTCCAGGATTTGGTCCATTTGATTTGCTTATATAGCTGCAATCTGTCTAGTTCCAGATGCCCAAACGTGTCCCCCACAGAATTCCAACTAATCACTTGCTCCGTTCCATGGAAGGGAAAAAATCTTCCGAAGTGAGTGAAATCCCCTTCATCTCTCTCCACCTCCTAGGCATGCAGCACCCTAATCAACTGACTAAAGGAACCATACAATGGAAACATCATAGGGTTATCTGAACAGTAACATTAAGCTTTCTCTTGTAATTTTAGATATAGAAATTATAAGATCTCTTTCTTGCCTAGCATTTAATTCTTAGAATTATGCTCTATCCACTGATCTAGATGGTTCAGTTAATAGAGCACTGGGCCTGGAGTCAGGAAGATCTGAGTTCAGATTAGCCCTCAGGCATTCTCTAGCTCTGTCAGCCTCTGTTTGCCTTAATCTACTCAAGGAAGAAATGGCAAACCACTCCAGTATCTTTGCCAAGAAACCCCCATACAGCATCACAAAGAACTGGATAGAACTCAACAACAACATTTTTTATGCTTGTAAGGAGACAATTTGATTTTTAACTCTTACTGGTTCTGGTTTTCTGAAGGTATGTTCCCTCCACAGCTTAGCCTTGGCTGAAAGTTATATTGGTCTGCTGTGGTCTTGTTGGGGTATCCTGTTTGGTGTCAGTGACATAAGACTGAAATGACATCCCTCCCTAACCTATCCCATCTCCACAATGCAAACATAATGAGATGGATTAGTCACAGGTTTATGGGCAGGAGATGGGTTAAAGTCTTTTAAAGATGGGTTTTAATCAGTGGAAACTTTTCCCTATAAAGTGAGTAACATATAAGAACCAAAAAAAAATTTACTGTGATAACTTGGTTGTATATTTAAAAGGAATAGCAAATTGTACATAGTGGATATGCATTTTCCTACGCAATCATATTTTTAATTATACTATGTTATAGAAATGCTTGTTTTATTCCATAAATTAATTTTTTTCACAAAAGTACTAATCCAAGGCATAACTTAGTGGTGGTAATCTATTCTAGCAGCTTCTCTTGGCTTTGAGATAGCAGCTACTGTTACATAGACAAGTTCTCTTGAAACACTCAAAAGATGATGTGAGGGGCAGCTAGGTGGTACAGTAGATAGAGTACCAGCCCTGGATTCAGGAGGACCCGAGTTCAAATCTGGCCTCAGACACATAACACTTACTATCTGTGTGACCCTGGGCAAGTCACTTAACCCCATTGCCTAGCCAAAAAAAAATGATGTGACACAAAGAGCTTATTGTCCACGGTACATTCTTTATTGTCTGGTGGGTCTGTGTCCCTTAGAAGGGAGTCCTGCCTCCTTTCCCTGTTATGGGGAAACAAGGATCCTTTAGAAGAGGCTTTTTGCTCCATGTGAATCTTTGGCAGTGGGAGAACCTGAGGAAGATTCTGCCAGGAAGATTCCAAAGAGGATCTGAACTGCCTCTGAGTCAAGTCAAGTGGGCTCTTACCTGAGAGTGGTTCAGATGCATCCTGTCAGCTCTTGATATACAGCATCTTGATAAGTAAATTCACTCACATTTAGAGCTACTAAAGTAGCTCTAATTGGTCACAAGATAACAGGATACAGTATTCTCCTGTTGAGGAAATGAGCGGCAGAGCCATGCTTGGTGGGATTTGTTCCTGTAAGGAAAACCATGTCTGATTCCTGCAGGTGATGGTGTGGATCCATGGTGGTGCTCTCACTTTTGGTGGTGCTTTCTTATATGACGGTTCGATATTGTCAGCCACCCAGAATGTGGTAGTGGTCACCATCCAGTACAGGCTGGGCATCCTTGGGTTCTTCAGGTGAGGTTTGACCCCACTGAAATGTGAGTACAAGAATTTTTTCTTTGATGAATTCCCAGATCTCTGAGTGGTTGAATGATAATAAACATAAATTCCTGATTAGAAAACATATCTCTTGCTTTCCCTTGCCTTCCACACCAGCTAATCGTGATATAGTAGAAAAAGCACTAGATTTGTGGCTGGAGGACCCAATTTCAAATTATGGCCCTGCTTCTTATGACCAATGAATTCACTCCCTTGTCCTCAGATTACAGATAGATAGATATGTGAATGGATTGATGGATGGATGGAAGGATAGGCAGACTAGCAGACAGATCATCAGGAAGATGAACCATTGATTAAGCAGCAGGCACTTTGTTAAGTGTTAGGGTTACCAAACAAGAAAACAAGAGAGTCCTCCTGTGTTAACCTAACCGCAGCTTGCTGTACTGAGTAGTAATCAAGCCCATGATTCCATTCACTTTCCAAGTACTAATTTTCTGTGATGTCTTACTCTAAAGCTATCTACCCCTTTCACTGTGGAATGCCTGCTCCACAAGTAACAAACCTGTTTTCATCTTTAGCCCTTTTTCTCTTACCCCTTTTACCTACTTGTACTCACCAAAACCTTTTTTTCTGAGGACACAGCTTTCCTGGTGACCATTTCTATCACTATTTGCATTTTCACTCAAACCTCCATCACAAGAAAGCCAAAATACTCCTTGTTTCCCACTACCCCTTCTAGACTCTCCTTCTACCACCATAATTCAGCAACCCCTCTTCCTTTGAGGTTCATTCAATCTATATTTAATCACCCAATCAAGATTTTAGTAGCTGTTATTATCCTCTGGGACACTCTCCTTTTCTCAATGAGTTCAGTGCCTTGTTTCCAGTGTTTCTCTGTTTCCCAACTCCCACCTTCATACTGAGGGACTTCAACATTCATCTTGATATCCCCTTCAACATTCTAACTCCTCAGTTCCTCAGTGTATTCATTTCTCATAACCTGCTCCACCACCCCACCTCAGCTAGATACAAAGATGGTAACACCCTTCATTTTACTCTGGTTCATGAGTGTTCCACTTCTATGTTCATTATCTCTGAAATTCCTTTATCTAGTTATATTTTCCTATCATTCCACTAGATTCTATGCTTGGTATCCCCTAACCTTGTTTTTCATCCTCATCCTTGACCTTCAATCCCCCCACCTCTCAGTTCTTTCCCAGGCTATCACCCCTGCCTGATTATGCTCTCTTCCCTTCTCCATCTTAACACTTTAACGAACTGTTTCATTTCTATGCTGACCTGTTATCTTATGACAAATCTTTCCCTACCAAACCTCAGTCTTTGTTTTCTGCCATCACCCATTCCTTTTGCTCTTTTTGCATACTGCTGAATGAAGATAGAAAAAAAAAGTAAAACCATGTTGCCTGTGTCCATACAGATTGTTACATAATCTTAACTGAGTCCTCACTGTGTCAAGGCATTCTTTCTGCACCTCTGTAATCAACTCACTTTCTCACTCACCAGAGTGGCTTTTCTAAACCTTTGCATCCCTCCTCAAACTTCTCATGGCTCCTCTTGTCCTCACCATCTCAACTCAGAACCTTGCTTTTTATTTTGCTGAAAATAAATGAGGCCATCCACTGAGCTCCCTCATATCCCCTGCTCTTTATCTCACATTGATCAGATGTTTTCTGTTGCTATCTCCTCCTTTACCTCTTGTCTTATATGAGGAAGTGGACCTTTTCTTCACTAAGGCTAAGCTTTCAACACACACAGATGATCCCATTCCATCCAGTATTTTCCAGAAGATTGCCCTTTGTATCATTTTCACTTTCACTATTTTTAATCTCTCTCTCTCTCTCTCCTCCCTCCCTCTCTCTCTCCTCTCTCTCTCTCTCTCTCTCTCCTCTCTCTCCTCTCTCTCCCTCCCTCCCTCTCCCTCTCTCTCTCTCTCTCTCTCTCTCCCCCTCCCTCCCTCCCTCTCTCTCTCTCTCTCTCTCTCTCTCTCTCTCTCTCTCTCTCTCTCTCCCTCCCTCCTCTCCCTCTCTCTCTCTCTCCCTCTCTCTCTGTCTTTCCTCTCTCTCTCTCTCTCTCTCTCTCTCTCTCTCCCTCTCTCTCTCCCTCTCTCTCTGTCTTTCCTCTCTCTCTCTCTCTCTCTCCCTCTCTCCCTCTCCCTCCCTCCCTCTCCCTCTCTCTCTCTCTCTCCCTCTCTCTCTGTCTTTCCTCTCTCTCTCTCTCTCTCTCTCTCTCTCTCTCTCTCTCTCTCTCTCTCTCTCCCTCTCTCTCTCCCTCTCTCTCTGTCTTTCCTCTCTCTCTCTCTCTCCCTCTCTCTCTCTCTCTCTCTCTGTTCCTGTAATTGTAAGGTGCTACTGGCTGTGCAGAACTTATAATTTATTTCAAGGGTTTGGATCTGTACCCACAAAGACATGTTCACACTTTTCCTAGCTTATAAATGATTAATAATGATAATAATCATAAACATACATGCACAAAAATGTGATTACATATGATTATGCAATCTTAAAAGCAAAGACTATTAGCAGAAAAATAGAGACATAAAGAAGAAGAAATACATCACCAATCCGAGGAAGCACCAACTGCTGAACATCTGGCTGGGGGAGTCCTGTATCATAGCCCTCAGGGTCGTGGTTGGGAAAGCCCCTACAGCAGAGTGCCCTCTCCGAAGGAGACTCCCAAAGTCACTTTCCCAAGAAAGACCCTTTTTATCATCCTTACACAAAGAAAGCAGGGAGCCAAGGAACAGGTGATTAATCCTAAGGACCTGAGAGTTTTGGCTGAAACTCTCTGATCTCAAGAACAATCTGTGTTATGACAAAAATGTCTTGGGTCAATACCCAGGAACTGGTCAAGTCCCTGGATGTTTACCTCAAGACCTGCTTTTAAGAAATAGTTCCCCAAGGTGGGTCTGGGTTGAAACAAATCTCAGAACAATATGTTAGGGAAGTTCCTTGTCCTTTGGCTTGGGCTGTGGATAGGGAAGATCTTATACATTAACCCTTCAGTCAGCCTTTAGATCTGACCTATCCATGGATTGGGAACATCATCTCTCCTATGGGGCATGCCAGAAACATCACCCATAAGGAGAAAACAAACCAATATAAGGACTTAACTTGTAAAAAAGAAAAAGCTTGTAACATTGCTGAAATGAAAGATGTTGAGCAGTTTAGTATAAACCAGTAAGAACAATTAGTAGGCACACACATATAAACATCAGTTCTATTAAATAGGAGAGTGAGTACAATTATCACAAGCTATATGTGTAAAATTAGGCAAGAAATTTATAAGATTATCACTACTAAAACATGAATAGGTGAAAGGGCTAATTTGGGCCCTCCCTTTTAGGGATATTAAAATGTTCCCAAAATGTTGCCTTTCATTATACGTCACATTGTAGAATGGATTTCCTATGGAAAAGCAGGGAGTATTCAATAAGTCTTTTGATCAGGTGATATTATTAATGAGGAAGAAGCACATCTGGAGGAATATGGTTGTGGCATCTGTTCTGCTGTCTTACTCAGTCCATGTCCTATGGGAGGTTTCTTTCTAGATTGAGGATGTTCCTGGCAAATCCAACAGTCTTGTGGTCCAGTGGTTGCCACTGCTCCTCCTAATCGCACCAGTGTATTCTCTCATTGTGCCATTACTCTTCCAATAAGTATAAGATAAACTGTAAAATACTATTCAGGTAAAAACAACTGTGTTAGGGGATAATGATGCAATTTGTCATCTCCAACAAATGCCACTACCATGGTACCATCCTTGCCTTCTGCCACTATCTCAGCAGCTCGAGGCATATCAGAGGCATGTCTTTTAACCTATACTTTAGATCCTACTCTTAAATCAGTACTTCCAAATCCTCCACACCTGGTTGAAATGAAAGTGGTTCTGCTACTTGCTCCCATTGTTCTTTGAAACAGGTGGAAATTACTAATTATGCCACTCTAGATCCCATAGAACAAACCACTGGTTCTGGGCCAAGGTCTTGCATTATCACTTTTATTTCCCCACATAATCTGAATCTATTACTCCTCCTAAGAGATGTATCCCCTTAACAGCTAAGCTTGACCAAGGAAGCATATGCCCAAAATATTTAGGTGGGATTTTTATTCCTATTCCTGTGGAAACAATAACTATCTTCCCTACAGGAAGATTTACAGGATTTAAAGTATGTAACTCATAACCAGCAGATCCAGCTGTTCCTAAGAAGGGGGGTGTGGCATGTGGATCACAAGCCCACCATTGTAATGTTAGATTTTTTGGCCTCTGCATCCTTATTTGAATATTAGGGGTCATCATTCATCCTAAGGGGGTTAATGACTCTTTTAGGGGCCAATTGTTTAGCTGTTGCAAAGCTTCAAATAAATTATCTTTCCAGTGTGCATAAGAGGTGCCAAGTTGTCTAAGTTTCTCTTTTAATAACCCATTCATCCTTTCAATTAATCCCACTGCTTGGGGATAATAAGGTATATGATAAATCCATTCTATATTATGATATGAACAATAGTGGTCTATTTCTTTTCCCTTAAAATGTGTCCCATTGTCACTTTGTATTTGTAGAGGGGATCCATAATATAAAGTAATGGTATCTATAGTCCTACAAGTATTTTTCTGAGTGGCATTCTTATATGGGCATGTCACCAGTACTCCAGAATTAGTATCTACACAGGTACAAATATACCGGCAACCTCTGTCCATTGCTAAGGGACCAACATAATCTATTTGCCAAATTTGGGTGGGCAGCCTTCCTCGGGCTAGTTCACCTTTAACGATGCAGGGAATTGGTCGCTCCTTTTCCATTTGGTATATGGAACACTCAGATTATGTTTGTTTTAATAGAGAAATTGGGAGGGAAATTCTCCTGTCCTAGGCCCACCTGTGTAAGACTTGGACTCTGAGATGTCCCATTTGTAGATGTGCCCATTGTGCTAATGAATAATAATCTTGATCTTCTTGCTGTATTTTTGCTATTTTGGCTAGTTGATCCACATGTGCAT